AATTGTTTATTCTTTAGATTTTAGTAAGGAAAGTAGTATTTTAGTTTCTGGTAGTGCAGATAAAACTATTCGAATTTGGGACGTTTTAAAAGGTATTTCAGTTGATTCTGTTGATGGTGATCATTCGTCGTCATCACCATCATCATCAACAGCAAGCAGTTCAAAAAATAATGTTGAGGATACAAATAACACATCTTTACTGAATAAAAAACCCAAAGGAGCCAGCGTAAAACCATCAAAGTAATAATAATAATAATTTCTTTTTAATGTCATTATTACAAATTTATATATAACCATTATCGAATGGATTGTAAGATTAATATATTTATTATTTATTTATTATAGGGATCTGCTGAATACGTTATGTACTAAAAATACACCAGTTTATGAAATTAAATTTACAAGGAGAAATTTATGTCTTGCAGCTGGTGCTTATAAGTCAAACAACTGAGGATCAAAAGCAAACAAAAATTAAAAATTTATAAATAAATTGATAAGAATGAAAGAACATAGAAATTTTTTACACGGGTATTCAATTTTGTTTCAATAATAATGAACATTCAACATTATTTGAATTTTTGAAATTTTAACTAAATAAAATTTCTCAAAGCGAATATACAAACACCTATAACTTTACATCAATATGTCAATGCCAACACAATCAATCCAATACCTGTTGACATGTTTAATTTTACCAATATTTTCACTACTATTGCTGTTACTACAATTCGGTTCTAATTTTAAAATCTTTGCTAATATTTAGCCAGATAAATATTTTTATCCTTTGGCAAGTTTTTTTCCTTTTTAAACTGTGCCATAATGTTCATTTTTTGTTGATTATATATATGACTCAAGTCTAAATGTTTTATATTTTGAAAAATTATTAAATTATTTTTCTATAACTTATTGATTTCGAATGTAAACCATGTTTAGCTTTAATTATTACTTGGCTTATTTACAGCTCGAACGCGACGCGGATGTATGTAAAATATGATAGGTGTAACAATAAGTTTTACACAAAGATTTTTTTAAAAAAAAAAAAAGATCAAAATATAAATATTTTCATATAAAAATTAAATATCCATCATGAGGTTTGCTCAATTCTTTATTTGAAAAATAATAAAAATAATAAGTAAACTGAAATTTTAATGAATTATTATTGTTATTATTAGTAAAGTTCAAGTTCCAGCCGTGAGGGAGTCAATCAGAACTGTTCTAGGTGAATCTGAAGCTAAAAAGCGTAAATTTGTTGAAACAATTGAATTACAAATTGGTTTGAAAAATTATGATCCTCAAAGAGACAAACGTTTTAGTGGAACTGTCAAGTAAATTAAAGTTACTGTTATTATTATTTTGTATTTATCATCAATTCATTAATATTAATATCATGTTATCAAAAAAAACTTTTTTATAGACTTCCAAATCTTCCACGTCCAAAACTTTCTGTCGCTGTTTTAGGTGATGCGCATGACTGTGATCGTGCTAAAGAAATCGGCCTTGAATTCTTAAGTGTAGATGATCTTAAAAAACTCAACAAGAACAAAAAACTTATTAAAAAACTTGCTAAAAAATATGATGCATTCTTAGCAAGTGAATCTTTAATTAAACAAATTCCAAGATTATTAGGACCTGGATTACATAAAGGTAATCATAATCTCACTATTATTATCATTGTCACCATTAATATAATTAATTAATTAATCAATTAATTTATTATTAATCATTAACTTTTTAATGGAAAAAATTTTTTAGCTGGAAAATTTCCAACACCTGTAACTCATAATGATGATTTAAATGCTAAAGCAGATGAGTTACGTTCCACCATCAAATTCCAACTTAAAAAAGTTTTATGTCTTGGAGTAGCAGTTGGCCACGTTAATATGAGTGAAGATGAATTAGTTGCAAATATAATGTTGAGCATTAATTTCTTGGTTTCTCTACTTAAGAAGAATTGGCAAAATGTTAGAAGTTTATATATTAAATCCTCGATGGGTAAACCTCAACGTTTATATTAAACGATATTTAACGCAAGAAAAGAATAATATAATTGCTGTAATACCCTTTTTTTCTAAAATTTGATAAAATCAACTATTGATATTTTTTTTTCGATAATAATAAAGAATTTGTTTATTTATTGTTTAGCTTTGCCCAAATTTTGTAACACGGGAAATATGTCGTTTCTTAATTACTTTGCTAGCAATTGCTAGCTAAAGATTAACAAGCGCCCTCAAAACTTTCGGGACGGTTTAATGTTCTTTATATAGTAATAGCTATTTCTTGGTCCGCACAATAAATATGAGCATCTATACCATATCTTTTAACAAATTTCACTAATATCAACTTATCCAAAAAAGCTTCGGATAACCCTTTCATTAAAAACAATAATTTTTTCATTATGTTTCACATAAGAAAAGGTAAAACTTGTTTCTCCTATCATGAACTGTGAAAAGTTTTCAGGTCGCAAGAGAGTATTATTCTCAATATATCGAACTTGTTCATAGAATGTTAGATAATAATTCTTTAATTCTCTGATCCCAAACTTTCAATGCCAGTAAGTGATTCCATTGCACTTTAGTCATTCTTCATAACAAAAGTGGGAACATTGGCGTGAGAGGTTCCATCGTGAATTCCTTGCCTAAAACAGTTCCACTAATGCCAAGATAAGGACCTACGAGGTAGAGAAGGAAAGCAGTGTTAAGACCTTGACGTATTACATTACTTCCGTTTAAGGCAATTCGTTTTGCATAAGATGCGCAAGCCCGCACACATTCACATCAATTCCATTCCCCAATCTCATTTTCTATTTCTCCAGCAATTGCTAGCTAAAGATTAACAAGCGCCCTCAAAACTTTCGGGACGGTTTAATGTTCTTTATATAGTAATAGCTATTTCTTGGTCCGCACAATAAATATGAGCATCTATACCATATCTTTTAACAAATTTCACTAATATCAACTTATCCAAAAAAGCTTCGGATAACCCTTTCATTAAAAACAATAATTTTTTCATTATGTTTCACATAAGAAAAGGTAAAACTTGTTTCTCCTATCATGAACTGTGAAAAGTTTTCAGGTCGCAAGAGAGTATTATTCTCAATATATCGAACTTGTTCATAGAATGTTAGATAATAATTCTTTAATTCTCTGATCCCAAACTTTCAATGCCAGTAAGTGATTCCATTGCACTTTAGTCATTCTTCATAACAAAAGTGGGAACATTGGCGTGAGAGGTTCCATCGTGAATTCCTTGCCTAAAACAGTTCCACTAATGCCAAGATAAGGACCTACGAGGTAGAGAAGGAAAGCAGTGTTAAGACCTTGACGTATTACATTACTTCCGTTTAAGGCAATTCGTTTTGCATAAGATGCGCAAGCCCGCACACATTCACATCAATTCCATTCCCCAATCTCATTTTCTATTTCTCCAACAAAGAGTACAATGATAACAACAGAGCCTATATCAGCTTCTTGATAGTTGGCAGGAAGTGGTATCAACAGGTTCATTAAGATAATTAGATGTCTTTCATTTTCATATTTGAAAACTTTCGCCATCAATTCAACAGACTCTATGACCGATCCACAGTCATCTTTCATAATTTCAATTTGGTGACAACTTGTTTGAAAAGATTCAAGTGTTCTATTATATAATGTAATAGGTGTACTTGCACGTGGCCTGTAATTGTAAACAAGAGGTTTTTTTTTCTGAGCCTTTAACATTTCATGGGTTTGCAAAATAATGATGGTGTTTTCATTGTTGCTATATGTCTGATCTTCTGTTTGGTTTCTTCTCAAGTATTTTCTTTTGCTTTTCTCTTGGTAATTACATTTTTTACCTGAACTAGTGTTGACGTAGTAGTAGAAGAGTTAGTAGTATTGTAAAACCATAATATGGACAGATGATTTACGTATAAAAAAAGATAGAATATTGTGCAGATAATATTTCAAAGAAGTTAATTTTATCACCAATGTATTATAACCTAGCATTTTTATTGTGAGATCCTTTACTTATCATTTTTTCAATTCTTTTTTCAATTCGGCAACTTCATTTTCTAAATGTTCGACCTTTCTTTCAATTCCTAAAAAGAATGGTTATTTTGTAAAGATCAGATTAATATTTGCAATACTGATCATAATTGAGCGATAATAATATTCGCGTAGTAGAGAATCGAATATTTTTGTAATCGGTCGATAATAATAATCAGTCAAATCAAAATTTTGATAATCGAATAATCGTAAATACCCGATTATTATTATTATTATTCGCCTGTATTATCCGTATATGCACAAAAAACCATTTTTTTTATTTTATTATTCACATTATAGGTTTTCTATTCGAATAAAATGAATAATAAAACGAACAAAACGAACAAAACGAACAAGAATAATAAAATTTTACATATTAATAATATTAATGACGATAAAAATAATTTACAGTTGCAATGTGTTCAGTGAAGAACGAGAAGTGAAGTGTGAAGCCATTTCACAGTTGTGGATGGAAAAGTCAAATATATTTTTTTGACTTTCGAAACCATTTATTTCTGAAGAAAACTCTTAAAATTAAAACCACTTCATTTAATTAGATTCGAGCCAAGTCAAATAAAATTATTATTATTTATAGATTCGAATCGTATTTTGCAAAAACTTATGATTCGTTCGAATTTATTTTGAACACCAAACATTGCAAGGTTACAGATAAAATTGCATTTATAAGAAAACAAGGTCTTAAAGCATATTTAAAATGTATTTATGGACGAAAATCCCGAGTCAGATTAATAATTGTCTTACGCAAAACATTTTAAAGATAATAAATTTTCAAAAGGGTTTGTGTATCATGTAGATAAAAAGTGATGTAATCAGAAAAAAAACCGACATTTTAAAAACATTTTTCAAATATTGAGATGGCATCCATAACCAGAAAAATTTCACATCAAGCATTAGTTTTAGATTTATATATCACGCTAAGGTGAACCATATGGAGCAATTTGTCATAGATAGTGTATTTCATTCATTCCATTTATTGGGAGTTGGTAGGGAAGAAAGAGCAATAACAGATCGATATTCACGGAGACTTGTTTCATGATATAATTATTTAAATAAAAAGGTAAAAATAATGAAAGCTATATATATCTTGATTTCCTCTCTCAAAAGACATCACCAAATTTACCATTTGTTAGTATAAACATTTTTAAAATAAAGCATCTATATATTGGGAGCTAGAATGATATTCTAAATTTTATGATGGAAATATTAATATTAATAATTAAAATAATTTTATGTTTATAATAACATTATATGTATAAATAAATTATTTCTTTAAATATTTAAATGCTCCCTTTTTGAACCTATATTTTTTTAATAATAATATCAAAAAAATTATCATCAAATTTATTCCTGCAGTATTAAGCCAAAAATTTTGATTTTTCCATTTTTTTATTGCTTCAGAATACCTCATAGTTGAAAATGTGACCATCTGATACAATGGCAAAAATCTTTGAGGAAATAATCGATGCATGTAATTTTCTAATTTTCTTCTTATCAAAAACCAAGGATTTATAACATTACTTCTCATTTCAATATAATTATACATTGCTAAATCACATATGGCTATCGCATCAGGATGACGAAGTGTAGTATAAATTTCTAAAGCCTTTGCAATTTTATTATCGTCATCAACATTGTTGTTGTTTCTAAAAGGCGAAATCTTGTATTGTTCAAAAATCTTATCAAGTACTTCAACATCTTGGAATCCACAATTCATACCTTGCCCAAAAAAAGGAACCATACTATGAGCTGCATCACCTAATATTACAACACGATTCTTGTAATGATAAGGATTACACTAATAGAAAATTGATTAACAATTAATTAATTAATGAACTTTTTTAAAAAAAATTAATAATTAAAAAAATTTTTACTTTAATAGAAAAAAGAAATTCTTTTGGGTTCCCAAAAAACTCTCGTTGAAGTTGCTCTTTACCAATTAAAGGAATAGAATCAGGAAAATATTGTTTAAAGAATAAAATCAAATCATCATTTGTTTTAATTGATTCAAATTTTTCATTTGGCGCAAACAAAGTGCATGTAAATGTCTTATTCTATTTTTTTTTTTTTTTAATTAATTAAAAGGAAACAAGAAAAATAAAATGTCAATGGAAACTCTCTTAAATTATTTAAAAACGATAATTAACAAACCTTATTTGGTAAAGCTATCATCATAAATGAATGTCTTGGCCAAATATGTAAATAATTCGGATCAATTGCATATTCTTCTTCTTCATTCTCATTAATTATTGGAGGAATGGTAAGTTCACAATATAAATGATTTATATATTCACGTTGGAAATTCATTCTTTAATTTATTTATTTATTTATAATAATAAAAAAAATTTTCAAATAAAGTTATTTTCCATTTTCTTCCAATAATTATAGCAGATGTAAATATAATATACCTAGTCCATACCTGACAACACGCATTAATTGACTTCTAACAATAGAATGAGCACCATCAGCTCCTATTATCAAATCAGCATTGTATTTAACTTCCGTTTCATTTGATCTATTAAATAAATATTTTTGAATATTGCATCAACTAATTATTAAATTATTAAAATTAAATATGAAAATCAAAAAACAATTCATTTCTTGCCTAATTTTAAATTGAAGTGAACCATTATCAAAATCACAACTTTTCAATTGATGCTCAAAATATATTTTAACATTATCAAATGTTTGAGCTGTATCCAATAATAATTCAAGGAGAGCTGTTCTTTCTACTGAATATATGCATCTCTAAAGTAAAAAAGAAACATATTTATAAATAAATATCTTCATATTATTAACAGTATATTAAAGATCTTAATTCGTTACCTTATAAACAACATCATATATGTTACTAACAAGTTTAGTGTTATTACCATTACCATCTACATGAATCATTCTACCTTTCATCGGAAGTCCACTATCCAAAACCTTTTTCACAAAATCTGATCCAACTTCAGCCAATGCACTTAATCCTCTTGTTGAAAGTGCTAAATTGATTGATTTGTTTATAACATTATTTTTATTCTCTGGAATCCTAACATCTGAATATGGTGATTAGTGTGGATTTGTATATGTCAAAGTATATTTGTTTATTTTATATTTATTTTTTACCTTTACGAAGTTCAAATAAACTGACTGACCAACCACGTTTTGCAAAATAAATTGCTGAAAGAGTACCGACAAGTCCTCCACCTACAACAGCGACACTACTAGGTCTTAAAGTGTCTTTCTCATTTTCAGAATTCATTTTTTTAACAATTTAAACCGACTTCCCCGTTCATTGATTATTTATAAAAATGTCCAAAACAGCAATGATTAACATATTAATATATCAGTCACATGACATCGCAGATCAAGCGTCATATGTAAAATAAAATTTAACCTTCCTTAGTAGAAATTCGTGATGATGTAGCCCATATGGGCTATTTCGTTGGTGCAGAATAACCCTGAATAGGTTAAAATAGCACGTAGTGGGTGATATATCCCATGTTAGGCTAAATAACCACGGGCTACTAATTAATTAACATGTTTATAAGGAACTTGAAATCGACCTACTGTAAAAATAACTTTGTAATAAATTTTATAAGTTAGAAATAGCTTGATTAGCTTCGACTAAATAAAATAAACCAAAATTATCTGTTAATAAAAATTAATTTGTTAATAAACCTATTTATTCTGATCCACATAAACACAAAAATAATTTAAAAATACATTCTTCCAAAAGCATTTGTTCTGTAATCATAATTAATTTTCGTCGCCCGTAATTAGTTTTGTCATCCGTAATTAATTTCGTAATTACATTTTTAAAGAAGGAAAGTGGTAATTAATTATGATAATTACGAATTACCTATTTACGGTAATTGCAATTCCATGTATAGTTTTATATATACATCATGGTAATATTTAATATAACAGCATTAAATTACAGGAATTAAAATTTATGCAATTTACTTTATAAAGAAATAATATCTTTGTTCATTCTTCTTAAAACGTAAATATTACACAAAATATCAATAATAAAGCCTTTGATTTGTCCTCATTGTAAAATGTTAAATGCAGTAAACAGTGAAGTAAATACATTTCTCGATGGTTTCCACATTAACTTGACATGTGAATTCACTCAAATTTTTGCTTGTAGCTGTCAATTTCCATCGATTTTTGAAATAGGCTTTTGATTTTCTGCCTTGGTAATTGAATTACTATGGCAAGTTTCTACTTTGGATTTAATTTTTCCCTCGTTTAGTTTCTTTTCAATTCTTGTTCTTTTTATATTTTGAATTTTATTATTATAAATTCATGACATTTAAGAAAACAATTCAATGATCTTTATCAGAAAAAAAGTTTCTTTAAAATAAAAGACGAGAAAATATTTATATACCAGAAGTTAAAGAAATCTTTGAACTCAAATTGAAAAACGTGATTTTTCAGGGATTTCTATTGAGATTTGGTTTTCAGCCATATAACTGGCCGAGGAGAATTTTTGATACTAATTTCGGATAGGAGGACCCGTGCAGAAATCTATTAGTGATCTGCTGAGAATCACGTCTCCCTATAATTAAAACCATAACACATTTAAAAAAACAGTAATTTTTATTTCCAAAAGGTTATATTTATTCTAGCATATATTATGGATATTATTTATAATAAATAATAAGAGCTTTAATAAAAAAATGGATTTTGATAATAATAAAAAGAATAAAAAGATAATGACTGACATATTTATATTAAATATAAAAAAACTAAACTTTAGACAGAAAATTTTTTGTTTAAAAGGTTTTTTCGTAATAAAAGCCCATATTCTATATGTTTAGTACAAAAAAAAATTTTTTTTCTCTATTTTTAATATTTCAATTTTATATTTAAAATCCTTGGAATCTGGCGATGCCCAATATAAAAATTAGAAAAAACAAAACGTTATAATATAATTTTTTTATATTTTGAAATCTTTGAGATTTATTCTACCAAATAAAGGGAAAAAAATTTTTTTTGTCACACTTGGATGCAGTATAATGTGTGTCAATTGAGCAGATTTTTGTCAATTCTGCAATAATAGGGTTCTACACATGATCAGCGAAACATGAATTAAGGTTTTTATAAGGACTATCTACAATGCTTCTATTAATCTCTTCTCAATCTCTTCATCTGTGGTATTTTCACTCAACATTCTTTTTATCTCACTGTCAATTACAAAATCTATGAAACATTCTTTCCCATTCATCTCTAATTACCCGTCTTTTTAACTTTTCCAAATCTTTCTGAGGTAATTTGGACCTAATCAATTTATCATTATTACCAGGCAGTAATTGGACTGTGATCAATAGCCAACCCAATCAGCCTTTCTTTTATCTCTTTTGGAAGCATTAACTCTTTATCCTCATAAAACTTACCATTAAAAACCCAGTTTGAGATCAATTCGCTAGCTTCTCTATTGCCCAGCTTTTGTGTAGCAGTTGAACAGTGTTGTGCCATTTATGGTTCCAATAAAATTTCATTGGAACATTTAAACAAATTCCAATTGGAATTGGAATGTTCCAAATGTGGTTCCAATGGAGTTAACCAATGAAATTCAATTACAGTGACACCCACACAATTTTTATTGGTCAATATCAATTGAAGGTCTACATTGGAACCACATTGGAACATTCCAATAGTGTTACAATGTTCCAATTGCACAACACTGCAGTTGAATATCTTTTGTGATAATATTTGCTTAAATTATGGTGTAGAAAATTTGTCCAATATCCAATATTAATATAATGGATATCTTCCTTATAATTTAACATAGTTTCTCTTCTGTTTTTTTATTACTTCAATTATCACATTTACAACTATTGAATTCAAGTTCACTAGTTGATGGAGTAAGCCGACTCATGTTTTCGGAGACTTTTATTATTATATTCTGACTAATGACATCCAATCAATGTTGGCTGTTTGTGATAAAATTTCATCGACTGTGGGAATAAGCAAAATTTGACAGAGTTCAACCTCTACAAAATGTTGCTTGTATTTAGTTTTACACCACCCTCTGAAATTGTTTCAACAAAAATGTAAGCTCTGGTAAAATTATGCATAAATCATGATAATACACATATAGTTTTTTATTGCTTCTAATCTCTGGTATAATTGAAGAATAAATGTAAGAATTGTCCATGGTAGCTTGTTTTTTTTCCTTCAATGTTTATGGCTGTTAACTACACCAAACATGGAGATTATGTTTCAATATTTGTTGAATTTGTTTTATTATCTTTTTTACTATCTTTTATTATTAGTGAGAGTAGTTCATCTATCTGATCCTCTGAATTCTTCCCCACCACATTTTTGAAATGGTCAGGATAACTATTGTTTTGTTGATATTTATCATCATCTTCTTTGTCTTTAGAAAGAAATGATATTCTTTTTGCTTTGGTTAAATTTTTACCAATGCATCAGAAGGATTTTCTTTCTGTATTTTTGAATTCTTTTTCTTTTCACTTTATCTAAATTTTTAATGCTTACTTGTTTTCGCTTAATAATTGTAATATTCCAGCTTTAGTGTAATATCATCTCATAGCTTTTTCAATCGAGTCCAATGCTTCTTCACATTTACCTGCATTCTTTTGAGAAATAGCTTTATGATAATAAAGATCACACAAGCGATTATTTCCACAAGCTTGTTTTTTGCCCAATTCTATTGCCTTATCAAAAAAAAATCTATAGCATCTTTGGATTCTCCTGCTATTTCTAAAACTTTCCCTCCCATTCCATAATACTTTGCGGCATTTTCAAAATCCGCTATAGAACTATCAAAACCTGACTCATCTGGCTTATGCAAGAGAGGATATAAGCATATGTAAGTATTTAGCTGATAATTTATCTTAATAATTTTTTCTAAGCTGGTTATATAATTGCGTTTTATTATTTCAAAATTAAACTTTAATTTTAACTTTATCATGATGATGTTTTTCTGCTATCTCAAAAAAAATTATGAGATTGGAGTCCTGTGTTACTTCTGAATTCGGGCTCCATATTATTTATTTGTGTCAAATAGCAATATTGGGCCTTAGAATCCGATTAATATTCAAGAAAGTTAACAATTGAATGAGAATTTCAGCATTTATTTAAAAACTTTGTAAATAATGCTTGTTGACTATCCTTGACAGTGAATGAAGAATGTGAAGAAATTATTATTGCATAGTCAAATTCCATATCGTTTCAATTTGCCGTTGAATTAAAGAAATTACAACACAAATCGTTTTTCTACGATTATAGTGAAAATCATTGATTGTGCGCAAGTGAGCCCTATAATAGGTTAAACGAATCTACTTAACTTGAAAAGGAAATAATCAGCAAAGTTTTTCAGCCCATGCGGACAATTTCCGAAAGATTACATCTTTTATCACTCAGTTCGTAGGGATAGAGCCTCAGTCTGGGAAAACATATAAGCGGGATATCCCCCCTTATCGATCTTTGGGTATCGGTCGGATAATTCACTCAAGATCTACGACCAGGTGATCAGAGATATATCCGTGCATTTATATTTATCCCTCGCCAGGCTAAAGCTGTATCCCTCCGAACACAGGGACAAAGGTCAGACCTACCCGGAAATCGTCCGCATACGGTGAAATTTTTTTCCGCAAAACGATTTTTTCCCACCAGGGCGTAGCACTTGAAGAAATTCAGATTTTCACGATTTTTTTCCCAACGTCGAATAAAAGTGGGAGCATGTGACACTAGCATATTATGAATTTAATTTTCATTCATTAATTTAATCCCGAAGAAATTCATTATAATATATTATAAACATGTTTCGCATGAAAACACTTATGCTTTACATACAGTTCATTCATTTCATTTATATATATACAACTTATAAACATGGCATTGCATGTAATAAATCGAGATAGATACTTAAATTCTTTATCCAGTAAAAGTGTGACGATCAACTCTTTTAAATTTGAAATTGTTATATATTAATATATATATATATATAATTGCGATGATATGATAAATGAGAAATCTTGAAATTTATTAAAATAGATATATTATAACACAAATATACAAATATAATTCTCTTTTTTTTTTTACCAAAAAAAAATGTTTCGAAAAACTTTACCACTAGAACTTTTAAAGGAAACATTTACATATATCAAAGATGATTATAAAACGCTATATTCTTGCATTCTTGTTAATAAATTATGGCACCATATCAACATTTCAACTTTATGGAGAGATCCGCTGTACTCTACCGATAGTATCAAAATATTAATTAATTGTTTGTTGGTAGAAGATAAAGAATTTTTAAAAAACAACAACATCGAATTAGATAAATTTGAATTACTTGAAAATCCACCATTATACAATTATGCAAAGTTTGCAACTGATTTAAAATTTTGGGAGATTGACAATAAATTTACAAAGCTAATAGGTGGCTATAATCCTACAACAATTAGTCTTTTAAAGAAAAGGTCGACAGACTTTATTTTAGATTATTCAAAAACTATCAGAATACTTAGAACTACTGGTTTTGATTATGGCATTGTTTCTGAATGGCCAATTAATCATCCTAGATTTAGTATTTGCTTTCAAAATCTTTGTGAATTACAATGTAAATCTTTTGATAATAATAAATTATTTGATAAATTGGCACAAACTTGTAAAAACATTAAAGTATTAAGATTGCGTCATAATGATTTTATTAATAATGGAAATGATTATAATCTGGCACAATTAATTAAAGCACAAAATCGAATCACAAAGTTGGTTATTTCTGCATTAACAGACCTAACTTTATCAGCTGAACTCAGAAAAGCATTATTAATTCATTCAGAATCAATAATTGAATATTCAAGTGATGGAGGAATTCATTTTGATCATTTATTAATACCAGCATTAAAAAATTTAAAATGCTTAAAATTTTTTAATTATAAAAATATTCATACAGAGTATTTAAGATCTGTTTCACTTCCAACTATTGAAGTTGTGGAAGTATTTAATTATAAAAAACCTTTTCTGTTAGACCTGTCAGAATTTATCAAAAACAATGGAGAAAACCTTATAACCATAAATATTGATGGAAATATAAATTATTCAAAAGAACTATTAAATTCAATTAAGCAAAAATGCCATAACCTAGAGGATTTAAGAATAAGCTATAATAACAATTTAGATCAAAAATTAATTGAAATAATTAATGATTGCAAAAAATTAAAATACATAGAATTAAGAAAATTAACTTGGAATAGTGGAATAGATGGTGATGAAACACTTGAGGTTTTAAATCAATTGTTACCAAAAAATTTATATGATATTGGTTTTGAAAAAAACGTTACATTTTCTAATGGTATTAATAATTCTTCAGTACAATTACCTTTTAGAATAAAATTATTTAAGAGATGATTTCATTATTTTCAATGAAAAAAAATATATGGGATGCACTGAGCAGAAAGGGACACATTGGGATTTTTATCAATTTCAAGTTAATGTCATGTCTATATGTAATATTGTCTTAAAGAATATTGTTATCTTAGAAACCACACCAGCTTAGCCTAATAAAATTTTCCTTTAAAATTGTAAAAACACTTCAAAATGCAAATCTCTTTTTTCGGTTCTTGTCAGTTTTATATTTCACCTTCTTTTAATTATTTTATTAATGGAATTTAATAGAATCAACAGTTAATAATATTCATAATTTTATTGACCTTTTTATATCCGACTTTGCAAGTAGCAATCCAGGGAGCAAGAGTGGTGGAATTAGGCTCTTGGTGTGAAATATCATTCGCTGTCGGCCCATTGAGCAGATATTTCATCCCAAGCATTTTTTTGCGCAAGAAAAATTGTGGCTTGGGTGTCTATCAATAATATCTGATTTGTCCTGAAATAGATGTTCCCGAAAATTTTTAATTGGGTAACCGAAGAGTGGATTTTTCAATTCCTGGAGTTTATGAAATGAAAAAGTACCACTGTTGATGAACAAAAATATTGACACTTCTTTTGTTTCGCTCAATAATCAAATACCTTCCTTCTATTAGAGAAAAAAATTTTTTTTTTGTTAATTTAACTGCCATTTGGATAATCTTCATCCATGTGAGATCTTGAGGAGATTATATAGGAAATTTAAAACGCTATTAGTCAAATGAATCGGACAAAGGGAATCTCTTTACAAAGATGATAAAGATTTGGTAACAAATTTTTTTGAAATAAAGATCAATTCAATTAGGTGCGCGAATGAAAGGTAGATAAGCAGTAGTTTAATTAAAATGGAAGATGTAGCAATTATTATTATGAGCTTTCAAATTAAAAGATGATTTTGTTGGTTTGGTCAATGAATTTTTTTATTATATTTTTTGCATATCGGCAAGAAATTGTCCGACTTTGACCACGGAATACTCAAAAGTTACTCTGCGGGTAACAATTACATGTATTTTAAACTCGAGTCAAGGACTAATCGAGTTTTTTAAATTTGAATTATGATTTGATCCGATCTGATTCATTTTGGGAGACTTTGAGATCCATGGTATTCCCTTGATATTGCCGTATTAATATTAAATATAATTCTAAAAAAAATTGGGTCAATTATGAATAACATTGTAAGAAAAATTTTTAACATGATTATATTAGTTTATTACACAGTGAGTCTCGATTTAACGGATCTCGATTTAGCGGGTTTAACGGATAAATTTTCAAAACCAAATTTTTCTATAATAATAATAATATATATTCGATTTAGCGGATATTTTTTAAAAATCCATATATTAATATGTCACTTCTAATAAAATTCTCTCGATATTACGGATAATGATGATTCTTGCCTTTTTTGGATAGCCTAATTTTATAATAATAAGCG